ACAGCCGATTCCTCCCCCCAGAGGTTCTGTCGCCAAGTCAGGGACTGGGCCCAGGAATCTGCATTTTGACAGACACCCCGGAGGCGGCTGCTGTCGGGGGTCCCAGAACGACCCCGAAGAAGCCGGGTGTGGGGCACGCAGGCCAGACCCCGTGGAGTTCGGGACCCAAGGGCAGCAGAGCCCTGGGGTCCAGACCAGCCCCCGCGCGGTCCCGGGGGCTGCCATCGCGGCCGGCCCCGGACAGGGCAGCCCCTGAGTTCTCGCGAGGGCTCGGCGGGGGGGCTGCTGTCTGGTCCCCCGCGCAGCACAGGGGAGGGAACCCCGGCCCTGAGAGGTCGAGTGACGTGCGGAGCTGTGGTCAGAACCCAGGCCCACGCCCTTCCCGCCGCCCCGAGGGACGCCTGCTCAGCAGACTGCCCACGTCCGTGGCCATTGTCACTCTTGAAAGAGTTATAGTTGTTTGCGCAGAAGTGACGCGGAGTGGAGGGGCGGGGGTGCCCGGGAGCCCCCCCCCCCCAGTCCCTTTGTACACGTGACAGCAGGGCCCGGAGCCCAGGGCAGCGTGCCATTAAAAATCACCTTCTATTCCTGTTCCTTTTGTCCGGTGACCCGACCCAGCAGATCGCTCTCCGCTGCCTGAGCCGGGGGGGGGGAGGTTGGGGGTGGGAGGGAAACACGAGGGCTAAACATAGCCTTGATTGTTTCGGCTTTTCTTACACGTGCTTCTCAGAGCGACAAAGATAGAAACCATTGACACATCGTCTGCCCCGCGGACAGGCAAGGGGCCACCTGGCTGGTGCTGACACTCGGAGCCGTGCTCAGCGTCCGACGACGCGGCCCTGAGTGTTCAGAGTCTCTCAGACACGACTCCTCCCGCCAGTGTCCTGGCTGCCGGGCACGCACCTGGCCATGGCCCTGGTAGGGCGGGGAGGTCAGGGCCCGGCCCGGGTTGGACCTGCCGGGCCCAGGAAGGGTCACGTGTGCCAGGGACAAAAGACAAGTGAGACCAGGTGAGCACCCACAGGCCGCTCTGCGGCTCTTACCTGCATCTGTCACTCTCTCCTCCCTGCACCCATCCCAGCTGAGGTCTGCCGTGTGCCAGGCCCCGAGCTGGGCGCTGGGAGCCACGCTGGGACTGTGCCCGAGCCGTTACAGCCTGGTGACAGACACAGAAACAGATCATTAAGGTTCCGGCAACGCAGGAGCCGTAGGGCGGAAGGTCTAGGCAGAGATCTGTGGGTGCCCCAGGGCCGCTAAGGGGAAGGCGTGTCTGCAGAGGAAGTGACGTTTGGGTTGGCTCTCGAATGAAGGGCGAGAGGCTGTTGGTGGAAGGGGGAAGGCAGGCAAATACCCCAGGCCCTGGCGCCTTTGCAAAGGGGTGAGGCTGAGAAAGAGCTGCTGTTTGTGGGGGAGCTGCAGATTCCCTGCAGCTGCGATGTGCTCGCATGGAACCAGCGGGCTGAGAGCTGAGGACTGGCTCGCTATCTGCATCCTCCCGGCCACAGAGACATTTTCTCCGTCAAGGCCAGAGAGGCTTCCTCTCTAGGAGTGGGGCAGTTCCCGCAGGCAAGCGGGGGCGCTTCAGAACTGGCCGTCCAACCCGGCCCCCTCGGGGGGTTTGTAGTTAACCAAAATCCAACCGAACGTCCGCCCCTCTGCCCTCAGTGTTGCTTACCTGTGTTCGCTCCTGCAGTTGATGTGTCAAACTTCAGTTTTATAAAGAATTTCTCATGCGCAAGAGGTGTTCTTGGGGGGGGTGGTGCGTGTACAGGCTCAGGTACTTTCGAGGGTGATTCTGATGCCATGGAAGTGCCGCCTGACTTCCGACGTCATGCAAGCCTGTCCTGCCCACGGCGTGGGGTCCGCTGGGGCCCCGGGCGCAGACCGGAGGAGCGTCTGCCCTCTCTCTGCGAGGCCGCACGCCGCCGCCGAAGCTGGACCGGAACAGGCGTGAGCCCCCAAGGTCTCAGGGGCGGCGAGGACGCGGGGCTGGGTCGGGAGGCCGGAGAGGTCCGGAGCTCCAGGACCGCGTGAGGGCCATGCGAGGGAGGCAGAATTGTCCTCCTCCTCGGGTTCCCAGTTCCCCTTCCTTCTTGTGATTTCCCTAGAGGCGGGGAAATTCCAGGAGGACGCCCCAGGAAGCCGTGTTCTTGGAGGACAGGCCTGGTCTCTTGTCATCCCGCTGACGTCCCAAGGCCTGGGAGAGGCACGTCCCCTCATGGGCCTCTGGCTCCTTCCGCAGGGGCCACCGAGGTGCCATCTTGGGGCCCTCCCTGCCCTGGGCGGGGCTCACTGGTTCCTCCCCGGCCGCGGGCCTGACAGAGGTGACTGCAGGCCGATGGGCCGCGTTCCTGGCCCATCTGGCGCTTCAGCACCTTGTCCCGTAAGAGACGTGGGGGGCCAGTGTTACTACTCGGTGGGAACTCCCCTGAGAGACAAAGCAGCGAACCCAGAGGAGGATGAGATTGCGGACCCTGGCACGGCCGAGGGGGCTTGGTGGCCACGTCCTCCGTGTGTTTGGAAACACGTCGGTTCTTAGAGACAGTGCAGAAGCTGGAGGAAAGCCAAGAAGAGAAAACGTGGACCGACCAGCCGTCTGGCGCTGGACTGTGGGTCTCTCTCTCGGTTTGCTTTTTGTCTTCGAGTGTTGAGCACGCGTCTCTGAGTAACCGGGAACCGCGCCCCGTAGACCGTGTGGCGTCCGTTTCGGTCCGCGCAGCGTTACGTCATTAACAGTTCCGCGCGTCGGTGATGTTCTCCGGAACTCGGCGGGCTTCACGCTCCGAGCCGCCCCCCCCCCCCCGCGGTGGCGTGTGTCAGCGGTGGCTCCTGTCTGCTCTCTCTCCTGTCATTTCGAAGAAACATCCTCACACACGAGTCTGCACTGACCCTGACTGTTACACGCATCAGGCAACAGAGAGTCGTGACTCAGTCACTGTTAGTTTGTATTTCTTTGAATTCACTTCATCCCCAGGGTACTGAGCTCTCTCCACAGCTGACCAATGGCGAATTGAAACCATGTTGCAAGGATGGTGCAGAGTGTGCAGCGGTAGACTATCTGAACAGCATAAATGCTCCTTGCACAAAGGGAATTCTTGGCGGTAACTTACCCGGTTCCCTGAACGGAACGCGGGCCGACCCTTGCCACGCACCAGGGCCGCGACGGCCAGAAGGAGGGGGACGGGGTGTTTGGGGTGTTTGGGGACGACAGCCCTGCCTCGCTCCCCCTGGCCCGACTGGGCTTTAATAAAGTCTCTCTGCAGCATCCCCAGCTCCTGAGGCCCGGTCCTGGGGACAGGCTCTGGAGGGTCCCTGCCACGTCCCTGCCAGGGTCCCAGGCCTCGGGCTCCGGGTCTCAGGACAGGGCAGGGTGCCTTAGAAGAAGGAGCAGCCCCCTGGGCCCTGATTTATCGGCCTCACCCTTGGCTCACGAGGCTTCTTTTGGGCGCACTGGTCCTTCGTTCTCCTTGAACTTGCCCAGTCGCTGCCCAGTCGCTGCTGCCTGTGACACCCAGCGTGGGGTGGTCCCTCGAGGGTCTCTCAGTGACCTGCGGGAAGTGGGAAGTGGCCAGTGGCGGGGAGCCAGGTGTGGCGTCCTTGCTGCCAGGAGCGCTCCCAGGGAGCGTGTCGTAGTTGCCTCTGCGTGTGGCCCTCTTGCAGGACCGGGACCGCTCCCCCGCCCCGGGGGCAGGGCCGAGGGCAGGCTCCCCTCCCCTCGGAGCCGCAGTGCAGGGGAGAGCACCGGGAACAGCCTGGGCGCATTGTATGTCTCGTCATTTGCTAGCTGTGGGCCCCCCCTCCCAGCCTCGTCCCCGACACAGGCGGTGAAGGTGGCGCCCAGTAGGGTCAGTTCCAACCCTCGGGGGACCCGGCTGCAGCGCCGTGAGACTCAGCGTGCGTGACCTACCCGCCGGAGGTCATTTCGGGGGTCACCCCTGCCCTTCCCCGGGCGGCCTGGCTCAAGCCGCGGTCTTCCCCGTGTCCGGGTTTGCACGGTGTGTGAGCACAGGGGGGGCGAGGAAAGACAGGAGCACGCTGGCAGGTCGATCCCGGGCCTCGGTGGTAGAAACGTGAACACAGGGCCGCGGCAGATTTGTGTCTGCGCTCCTAACCCCCCACTGCCCCCCCAGCCCCGAGCCTGACCCCCAGCAGGACGCCCAGCCGCTCCTGACCGCGTGCCACTGAAGCAACGGTTCCAGCGCAGGGCGGTGTCCCGCGGCAGGGCTCGCCCGCCGGTCCCCGGGTTCGCGCAGGGGCCTGACACTCGCGCTCAGCGAGGACCCTCGGGTCTCTGCAGCCCGAGGCTCCACCCAGCGGGTTGTGGCCACTTCAGATGTCCTCGGTTTCAGCGAGGAATCCAGGGAGCTCGAGGAAGGCGCTCAGGGATCGGCCGCTGTTGCTGTTTGTGCTGTGGAGTGTTTGGGGGGAGGGGACGTAAGTCATTCCACTTCTGGTTTCTGGTGCCAGCAAGTAGTTTGAAGGAGGAATCCAGATGAACTCGTCGGGCAGCACCCCTGGCCCCTTTGACCTTGACCCGGGTCTGAAGCACCGGCCGACTCCTCTCTGGCATCGGTCTCCTGCCAGGGCCCTCGAGCCCCAGCCCAGGAGCCACAGGGCATGAGGACGGATGTGGCAGGCGCACTGCCCAGCTCTGCTGCCGCCAGGGCGGGGGCGGGGCCGGCCGGTATTCCAGCTTATAAAGTGAGAAAGCATTTGGGGCAAACAGGACTGTTTTGGGCTTTTCCCCGGAGGGGGTTCAGTGTGGGGGGAAGAAAACCGTGTCAGGAGTCCCTCAGACACCTGGGTTCTGGGCTTCGCTCTGCGTCTAACTCGGCACCTGGGGCTTGGGCCCCCTCCCCGAGCCTGGGTGTCCCGTCTGCGAAGCGAGGCTGGACCGTTTCTGGCTCCGGAACCCCGTGAAACAGGCTCTTGGTGAGGAGGTCGAGGGCTGGCGCGAAGGGCTTCTCAACTCCTGTCTCTCTCTGTCCTTTGCGAACCAGAAAATGACAGGTGGCGAGACCTGGACAGGAAGTGCCCCCTTCAGGTCGACCAGCCGAGCACCAGCATCTGGGAGTGCCTGCCGGAGAAGTGCCCCGGCGGCGGCGCCCTGTGGCCCCAGGAGGCCGCGACCACCTGCACGGTGACCAACCTGATCAAAGACCTCAGCCTCAGCGACCACAACGGAAACCCCTCCGCGCCCCCCAGCAAGCGCCAGTGCCGGTCCCTGTCCTTCTCCGACGAGATGTCCAGCTGCCGGACGTCGTGGCGGCCCCTGGGCTCCAAGGTCTGGACGCCCGTGGAGAAGAGGCGCTGCTACAGTGGCGGCAGCGTGCCGCGCTACTGCGGCGGCCTCGGCACCATGCAGCGCAGCTCCAGCTTCAGCCTCCCTTCCCGGGCCGACGCGCTCGCCTCGCCCTGCGACCCGGCGGCGGCGGCGGGGTTCCACCACCGCTTCGGCGGCCAGCCCTGCCCCGTGGCGGCGCCCGGCTCGGCTGCCTGCGCGCAGGCCGGCGACCTCTGGGGCCCGGACCTGAACCCCGTGGGAGGGGCCCGGCTCGACATGCAGCGCTCCCTCTCCTGCTCGCACGAGCGGTTTTCCTTCCCCGAGTACGGAGGCCCGCCCTCCGCCAGCAGCACCCCGGCCTCCACGCCCGAGCTGGCCAGACGCCCCAGCGGGCTGTCCCGCAGCCGCTCCCAGCCGTGCGTCCTCAACGAGAAGAAGGTCGGCGTCAAAAGGCGGCGCCCCGAGGAGGCGCAGGAGCAGCGGCCTTCCCTGGACCTGGCGAAGATGGCGCAGGTAAGAACCCAGCCGGCCGCTTGGTGGGGCCCTGAGCCAGGTCCGTGTTCCTCGGTCGAGGGTCAGGAGTTTCGTGTCCCTGTGGACACAGTGCGAGCGGTACGGGTAGATGGCGAGGGGCAGGGCGTGGGCGGGCGGGCAGGCCCGTGTCGCCCAGCCCTGGTGACCCCCTTTCTTCGGGCGCCACGCTGGAGCCTCTGGCCGGAGCGCCCCACAGCCGCGGGAGGGGTTGCGCGCACGGGCCGGGTTCGGTGCCCCCACGTCAGGCTGACCCTGCGACCCCGGCTGCAGGGGTGGCTATAGAGAGCGACACCCGGGGAGGCCCTTTTTCTTCCTGTTGAACCGTGGAGAGCGTGAGAGCGACGGGAGGGACACCGCGGTCGGTGGCCGTCCTCTGTCCGCAGCCACATGCCCGCCACTTGCACCGACCTCGACCGAATGCGGTGACCTTGGCCTCGGTGCCCCATCGTGAGGAGAGCCTCGGGCCTCAGCGCCACCTGCTCTTGGCCTCTACTGGGGAGGCCCGGGCAGCAGGGTCGGCCCTTGCGGCCCGTCCGGTGGAGGACTGGCAGCTGCGGTGGGGGGGACGTGGCGCTCTGGGCGTCGTCCTCTCTGGTCTCGCCGTGCACGCGTCCGTCAGGACGGAGACCCGCTGGGCCGTGAGGGCCCGGCCCCGCATGCGTGCAGCGTGTGGCCACGTCTGGCAGGCCGGCTGGTTGCGCCCGCGCCTTTGCCGCCCCGTGCGGCCGCTCCCTCCTGTGCCCAGGGCTGCCCGGCCGGCCGGGCTCCTCGCTCCCAGGATGAGGACGCGGTCCCCGCTGGCGGAGTTCCCTTCTCTCTCCCGCAGTCCCCCTCCCGAAGGAGGGGTGCGGGGTGTCCGGTCTGGGGCGCACCCCCGGCCCCGCGTCTGGGCTTCCCGGCCCGGGGCAGCCGGAGGGCTGACACGTGACGGGGTGGGCGGCGGGGCTGCCCCGTCTCCCCGTGCCTGCTGCCTCCTTGCCCGTGGGTTGACGCGGGGAGGGCCCCGGAGGAGGGCCGGGCGGCTCCCCCAGCCCCTGCCCCTGCCCCTCGTTTTCCAGTTTCCCTTGCCCCTCACCGCCGCTCCAGGCCTGTCCCTCCCCTCCTCCCGGGGACCGCGCGGCCAGACGGCGATGGAGCCCATGCATTTACGTTGGACGCTGCGGTGGAATTTTCCTTCTCGGGAGAAACTGGAAGAGGTGAAAAGGCTGGAGAGGTGACAGGTTTGGGCGACTTCTGAAGGAAACCCGGAGCTCTGGGCCCTGGGTGCGATAAATGGCTTTCAGTTAAATTTTTAAGGCTGAGCTTATTTTATTAGCTAATCAGCGAGATAGGCAATAAAAACAACTTACACGTGTGGTTATGTTTTACTGGCCCCAAGCTGGAATAGCAGCGCTGGCACTCCTGGCGACATTTCCCGTCCTCGCTCGGGGAGGGGCGTTGGGAAACACACCATGCGGGGTGGGGGGGGGGGCCGTGCCCAGATGTATAGATCGTTTCACGGGGCCCAGGCAGGCCTCCAAGCTGCCGAGGAGGCTGCCCAGTTCTGCCCGTCTTTCCCCGGCCGGGGCCTGGGCAGGGCGGAGCGCAGGGAGAGGGGAGGGGGCCCCAGGGAGGTGTGTGCTGCCTAAGGGCTGTGGCCAGCCCCCTGGGGATAGACCCTGAGCTTCCTGCGGGCCAAGCCTGCGGACCCTGGCCAGCCCTTCCCCCAGGAGGCTCTGCCTGCTCAGGCTCCCCATGGGGTGACAGATGGCTTCGGGGGGGCGGGGGGCTTGCTTTTCCAGGAGCCTTGGAAGGCTGGCCCAGGGCAGCCCTCGAGCACCCGAGAGTGGCCCAGACGCAGCCTGGAGCACGTGGGGTCCTCCTGTGCCTGCGACCTGTGAGCGGTCGTGTGTGCAGCACCGTGGGCACAGGGACCTGCTCACGGCCCAGGGGCAGCTGGTGAGGGACTGCCGGCCCCCAGACCTTGGCCTCCACTGGCCGCGCGGCTCACCCAGCCTGCACGTGGCGAGGTGGGTGGAGCCGAGGGTGGGCGCTGCCCCGTGCTTCCCGCCGTCCTGTCTTCAGGGGATGAGTCATGGGCTCTTTCACGGGTCTTCAGATGTTGGCTTACACGCCTGCTCTTTAGGGAGGAGAGGGTTCCAATGGAGCATCTTCTAAAGGGCCCCCTTTGTGCTTAGGGTCTGGGACCCGGCGCGTGAGAGGCCCAGGCGGAAGGTGCCCAGGGCCTGTCTGGTTTATTAGGCCTCTGGGAGTTCCCACGGACCCCGCTCCCTGGAGGTGCCCCGAGGGGCCCAGAGCTGGCCCCTGGGGTAGATGTGTGGGTACCAGGGCTGAAGGGTCCGGAGTGAGGGTGGCAGCCAGAGCCCCTGCAGTTGCCAGTAGTAAAGGGACCCAGGCGAGAGCACGGAAGCCAGAGGAGGACGGCAGGGGAGGACGGATTGCCCCGAGGTCCCTACCCCCTGCCCCCGCGCACGCCACGGGGAGGGGCAAGGGCCGGGGGTGTCAGGGATCCGGGTGACCCGCAGGCCTCACCCATTCTGGCCCCTGCAGAGGACGCAGGCCCTCCTGGAGCACGGAGTTCACTGTCTGGCCCGCCTTGGGCAGGGGCGTGGACAGACCGGGCTCCCCGGCAGGGCAGGAGGCCAGAAGCCCTGGGCAGCAAACACCGCCGCCACCAACACGGGACTGTGGGAAGGAATAAGGGAAATGGTGTGTGCACGTGTGTGTCTACGTGTGTATATACGTGCATGTGTGACCACACATGTATGTGGGTGTGTCTCTGTGTGTGTACCCACTCACTGATACAGATGTGTGTGCGTTTATCTGTGCGCACACACATCGCCTGGTCTGCCGGCTGGCACAGTGTGAACGCTGACACGCTTATTGTTGCCACTCACAACCGCAGGGCTTGGGAGGGAAGGCGTGAGCGCACGCTGGGCGACTCCACAGGCAGAGCTGGGACGCGAAGGCGACGTGCCCGGGAGCACGCTCGGTCTTTCTTGTCCCCCTTCTTCCTTTTCTTGCCCCTCTTTTCGACTCCGGCTTCACCCTCCCTCTCCCGTCCTTGCCTTTCACTTCTCGGTTGTCCCTCATCTCGCCCCGACCCCTCTGCCGGTCAGGGCGGCCCGCCCTCGCCGTGCTGGGGGCCGAGGCTCGTCACGCGGCGGCGGGAGGTGACCGACCGCGTGGCCGGCAGAGGACGTGTGTGTGGGCGGGCTCACCTGACACCTGTCACCCGCGGGACTAAGGCGGATGTGATCAGGAGCCCCCCGTCTCACCCCCTGCATGTCTTGTCCTGTGCCAGCCTCGTTTCCGGAGAGCACAGCTGCCCAGCCCCTGGCAGCGATGGCCCTGGTCCTTGCAGCATCACTGAGGCTGGGGCGCGGAGGGTTGGGGGTTGAAAACTGCGCTCAGACCATCTTCCTTCCTGTCGTCTGAAAACCTCAGTGCCCAGCTCGTGGGCAGGGCTGAGGGTCCTGGGTCAGGGAGGGTGGTCACAGCGAGGAGAACCCCCCCCCCACCCAGGGAGAAATGAGGTGGGGACCAGGTCTGACCCGCTGACCTCCCGGCGCAGTTCTCTTGGGCCCTGTTGAGGCCCCTTCTGCTGGGCATCTTCTGCAAAGCCACGGCGTCCCTTTTGCAAAACGACAATGTGTGTCATTGAGGGCCCAGGCCCCAGCCAGAGCCTGTGCGTGGTTTACCGGCGAGACCTTTGTCGACACGGTGAGTTGCTGCTTTTCTGAACCTGGTTGGTCCGCCAAGCATCAGCTGGTCATTGGCTGCGACCCGAGCTGCGCGGGGCCCTTTAGACAGGAGCCGCATGCGCGGGAACAGAGATGTCAGGGGAAGCAACAGTTGCAGATTCCCGGCCACAGGGGCAGGGGCTGCAGGGAAGGCAGCACTTACAGATTCCCCAGCAACAGTTGCAGATTCCGCCCCGCCGCCGAATGGCTCGCCCCTGGCTGTCACGGTCCTTGCTGTGTTTTTAACGCCAGGCTGGTCGGCTTGAAAGAGCAACAAATTGTATTTCTCAACAGCGCTTCCAACAGAAGCGAGACGTTTGTGAGGAGGGGTCGGGGCGCGGGAACAGAGGTGCGATTGATCGCGGCTGCCCACACACCGAGTCCCCAGCCTGCCGGGCAGCCTCCGAACAGGCAGCGACTGTTGTGCTGGCAGATGTTGGCAGGCCCGTGAAAGCCGGCGGGGGGCAGGTTGGGGTAGGAGGGAAGCGCAGGGTAGAAGCTGCGCCCAGGGCGGTGGTCCTGCGGACGAGCCCAGGGCGCAGTGGGGTGGTCTCGGGGGCCCCAGCGGGTGAGGGGTGGGACGTCATCAGAGGAGTCAGCACGGATGCCCAGCAGCGGCTCGTGGCCCTTTGCCGGCAGGGTCGTCCGTGGGTGAGGCTCCCTCCCGTCACCAACCGCTCGCCACCCTGTGTGCCGGGGGCGCCGCCCTGCGGGGTGGCCCTCCACACGGTCGTGCTGGCCGCACGACCTCCTTGCCCAGGCAGCCCAGGCAGCCCCGGCAGCTGCAGGCCAGCTGTGCTTTTCGAACACTTGGCGGAACCCCCAGGCCCAGGCCTGGCTTGCTTGAGCGTGGACCGCCTCGGGGCCGCTCTGCCAGGGGCCGGCCACCTTGCTGGTCCCAGTGCCCCACTGCCTCGCCCACTGGGCACCCCTCCCGGGGAGCCTCGCCGGCAGCAAGCAGGGAGCTCGGGCAGGGTGCCCTCTGCAACACGGACTGCAGGCAGGCCTGGGGATCTGGTGAAAGGCAGGCACGCAGAGCCCTGGAGTTCCACGTGGGATGACATAAATGCTAAATAAAGGGACGGCAGAAAGCACCGCGGGCCCGTGGGGGCCGTTGTGTCTGGGGAGGAAGTGGCCGAGATGGGCTTGGAAAAGGAGGGGAGGCCGGCAGGACCTGCCTGCACCGTCGGAGCTGGGAGCCGGGTCGGCGGCCCCGGGCTTCCATCCAGCGTGCCT